GCCTCCCAGAGTGCTGGGATTACAGGCGTGAGCCAGCGGGTTCATTCTTATTGCTGTATAATATTCCCTTGTACAATTGTGCTTATTTATTCATTTTACTGATGATGGATATTCGGTTGTTTTCAGTTTGGGGCTCTTAGGAACAATGCCGCTATGAACATTCGCGGGTGTGTCCTTTGGTGTGCGTATGTGGGAATGACATGTATGACGACAGGAGAATGTGTGATCTGCTTCTGTGCCAGTAGGTACTGCCCGACAGTTTTCCGTGTAGGGTGTCTTCGTGACGCTGTTTGAGTCTTATCAGTTTCACATTTCCTTGATGATAATGAGAAGCTCAAGGTATGTTCGACAGGGTAAACAAGGCAGTTTGTTGCTGGAAGACAAAAAGCAAGAGGTTGTTTCTTTTTTCTTCCTTCGAATGATGAGGGGGTTGGGAGACCTGTCTGCTGCTGCTCCTGAGCCGGGTCACGCTGGAGCGCCGCACGCCGAACCTCGTGGACCTAGCAGCCTCCGCTCTTGGCTCTGGAGTGCCCCTTCTCAGGGTCATCTTGCTGGTCCCTGCCACCACCCCCTGCCAGGCTTGGGGACAGCCCTTTCATTGTCTGCAGTACACAGCTAAGCCAAGCTGATCACAAAAATAAGACTTTTTTTTTTTTTTTGGATCACAAGTCATCAAGCGACAACAGCAAGATTTTACTGAAGAAGCAGGGTAGCAGGAGGGAAGCCAGCCCAGAGAGCACGGTCGCAGTTCACCATGCCAGACGCGCTTCCCTGCTCTTCCTCTTGGACAGCCTCTGTGCCCGCTCCCAGACCCCCGCCGGTGGGAATGGCACCACCTCATCAGGGGTGGTCCCATTCTTGGCCCATGGGTCTCTCTAAGGGACAGCGCTGTGGCCCTGCCACCATTAGCGATGCCTACGGAGGAGTGGCGCACAGACGGTAGAGGGGAAGGTTCCATCCCATTAGGAAACGACATTCACGGTGGCCTCGCATCGTCAGTGAACGTCCCAGACAGTCGCCGGGATGAGAGTTCTCCCGGGGCAGGTCAGCAGTAAATTGATAACACAGGGTCGGCACCAAGGTGGGCTGGGGCCGAGTGCTGTGCAGCGCGGGCCAGAGGCGGCCCCTTTTCCTGGGCTGGTCCCTGGCAGGAATGAGGAAGCGTGGCTGCCAGGGCAGCCCGGCTGGGACATGGAGCACTCGGCGGCCCAGGCGAACCTTTGCCACCTGGGCTCTTCCTGAGGCCTGGAAGTTTCAGCCTGCCCCTCTCTGTCTCACTAAGGAAAGCAGCTTAGCTGCTTCGGAGGGAGGTAGGAAAATAAGATGTTTGAAATTGTTGTTAGGAGGATTATTTTATACGGGTTACATTTATCACATTTGCCCCTTTGTCTTTTGTAACAAAAAGGTGCCATCGTCCCACGGGGTGGACAGCGAAGACGATGAAAATACTTCTACTCAAGACGGGTTTCCGGGCTCACCTCTCGCACCACGGCGTGCCCAACAAAAAGGTAAACAAAACAAAACACCCATAATTTTTATAAAATGTAACAGCTTTTCGTGGCAATGAATGTTGTTTACTTTTCCTTTTTAGGAAAATATAGCTATTGGGCCTCCATGCTGTGGCTCTGTGATTTTAACTAGGAATATACTTGAAATTCATCTTACTGAAAGCAAGTTCATTGCCCGGGTGTTAGGTTGTCTTTAAAGTACAAGGTGCTCAGTTTTGAGCGCCTTTTGTCTGTTCTCTCAGCCACGAGGGGACGCAGGAGGAGACTCGGGCTGCGAAGCCCTCCTCGCTCCTTTCCCTCTGCTCCCCGGCGCGACGAGTGAGGTCGTGTGTGGTTCACCACGCCTGTCCCCGTGCCCGGAGCGGGGCCTGGCCACGGGCTGTTAGGAAAGGTTTGTCCGGTGAGTGAGTATAGGGACACTTATGTATCTTATTTGGCACAAAGAGAATTCAGTGCATTACAGCAAAGGCAGGGAGCAGTTTTCAGCTTCCTGTGAGGGGCCGACGCTTGAGCAGTGAGAAGAAGAACCAGGTATGCGGTGGGCAGCCAATAACTGCTTAATCAGGACCCTCCGAGTTGCTTGGGCTCAGGGAAACTTCTATTTAAATCATTTCACAAGGAAAACAATACCAGCCTGGTAAATCCTGGGCCAGAAAATACCTATTGGTCAGTTGGCATATTTTGATTATTAGATTCATGTAAAAATTGCATCTTTTTAAAATTACAGAAGTAATACTTTCTTGCTGTAAAAAAATAAAACGCAAATACAGGCCGGGCGCGGTGGCTCACGCCTGTAATCCTAGCACTCTGGGAGGCCGAGGTGGGCGGATTGTTTGAGCTCAGGAGTCTGAGACCAGCCTGAACAAGAGGGAGATCCCGTCTCTTCTAAAAATAGAAAGAAATTAATCGGACAACTAAAAATATATAGAAAAAATTAGCCGGGCATGGTGGCGCATGCCTATAGTCCCAGCTACTTGGGAGGCTGAGGCAGAAGGATCGCTTGAGCCCAGGAGTGTGAGGTTGCTGTGAGCTAGGCTGACGCCACAGCACTCTAGCCCGGGCAACACAGTGAGACTCTGTCTCAAAACAAACAAACAAAAAAAAAAACCGCAAATACAGGAATATATAAAGCTTAAACACACGAAATTACGCTCCCATAGATGATTACTTTTTAACAATTAAGAGCATGTCTGTATATAAACTACGTGCTATTTTGTCAGCTGCCTTTCTTCATCTTGTGGTACAACCCGAACATCTTCCTGTGCCCGTACACGCGGATCTCTCCTCCCATCTCTGACATCTCTGACATGTGTTGTGTGGCCCGATGTCGCACATGGCTGTCAGGGTCTAATCAGGAGACAGAACCCACGGGGTTCTTTGAACATGGAAAGTTTAATATGAAGAATTATTAATTATAACAGGAGCGCCCGCTAAGGGGTAAAGAGGACGCTCCAGAACGCGAGGGTGGCAGATAGAGGGCACAGCCATCGTCCAGGGGCTGACGCAGAGCGTTTAACAAACCGCAGTGGCTCACGTGGGTAATCCCAGCACCGGGGGGAGGCTAGGAGTTGGAGACCAGCCTCTGGGCAACATGGCAAGGCCCCGCCTCTCCAAAAATAAAAAAAAAGAAACAAATCTGGAAGGGCCTGGCCCAGAGCTGAGATCCAGACCTCGCTGGAGAGAGCAGCTGTGCCCTGCTGGCTGGTGGCAGAGTCTGCCGAGGTGCTGAGAGCCTGCTGCCGGGTTGGGGTTCCAGGAGAAGCCACCCATGAGGAGATCCTGCTCATTGCTGGCCGGCAGAACAAAAAGAAAAGGAAAAAAAAGAAAGACAAGACAGGAAGGGGGTGGGTCTGGAATCAGGAGGCAAAGCCCCTGCTCCTCCAGCATCTCTCTAGCGCCCTCTACCGACAAGGCCTTTCGCGCCAACTGGCCGGGCGGAAACGTCGCAGGAACACAGGCGGCGACCACCACGCACCTGGGGACACAACCTTGGAGCACAGGCGGCGGTTGGGAGGGAGGGGTTGCAGCTCCTGTGCTTGGTTTGTCGGGGGCACTCGTGAAAAAGCCTGAGACCCCAAATTCCGATTCAGTGACTCTGGGCGAGGCCCGGAGGTCTCTCCTTTAACAGGACCTTGGGGAGTCTGGTATGAGCGACTAACACATCAGGAGCCTGGCTTTTGGGACCTTGGTCCTGGACTCTGTCACTGCCAGGTGACACAGGACGTGGCTAAGTTACCTAACTCCTCTTCTGCTCAGTCTGAGGGTGTCTCTGTCCCGCATTGCGTCGCACCTGTGCAGCGTAACACCCCCCATCGATGCTACTGATTATTGCCGACAGGCCGACATGGCTGGGCAAGTAGCTCACGCCTGGAATTCCACGCCATGGCGGGCCAAGGCAGGAGGAGTACTTGAGGCCAAGAGTTCGAGACCAACCTGGGCAGCATAGTGAGACTCCATCTCGACAAAAAAAATAAGAATTAGGTGGGCGTGGCGGCACCTGCCCGTAGTCCCAGTTACTCCAGAGGCTGAGCCAGGAGGATCCCTTGAGCCCAGGAGTCCGAGACTGCAGTGAACTGTGATGACACCACTGCACTCCAGCCTGGGTGACAGAGCAGGACCCTGTCTCCAAAAAAACAATGTAGGTTTTTTCTTGTTGTATCACTGTAAACGTTTACTCATCAGAAATGTGTTCAGCATTTGCCATGTGGCGGAGATAACTAGCCACAGGCCTGACCCTTCACACTGCAGCTGTGGGAGAAGGCGCAGCTTGCGGACCGTAGTCTGGGTGCTGAGGGGGCCGTAGCGGTGGGCACAAAGACCAGGGAGCAGCTGACGCCCGCCAGTTAGAGAAGGTTTCAGAGGCTGGACTCAGAAGGACGTGGCAGGATTTCACCAGGTGACAAGCACACGCATGCAGTCAGGGCTGCCCCGGGACATTTGACCGAAAGCGGCAGTTTGGTTAAAACTAGTTGATCAAGACCGCTTTTTGGTCAAAAACAAGCTCTTCAGTGATCAGTTATTCAAGTACTGGTAATATTGGTAATTTCTGATGAGCACATGAACCAGGAAGCATATTTAGAATTTTGTACGCACTTTTAGCATTTCATTGTTTTCTGAATTCCATAGGCGTTTTTGTCTTTTTTTTTTTTTTTTGAGACAGAGTCTCACTGTGTTGCCCGGGCTAGAGTGCCGTGGCGTCAGCCTAGCTCACAGCAACCTCAAACTCCTGGGCTCAAGCAATCCTCCTGCCTCAGCCTCCCGAGTAGCTGGGACTACAGGCACGTGCCACCATGCCCGGCTAATTTTTTCTATATATTTTTAGTTGTCCGATTAATTTCTTTCTATTTTTAGTAGAGACGGGGTCTCGCTCAGGCTGGTTTCGAACTCCTGAGCTCAAACAATCCGCCTGCCTCGGCCTCCCAGAGTGCTAGGATTACAGGCGTGAGCCACCGCGCCCGGCCCGTTTTTGTCTTGTTTTTTACACGTGTTTCTCATCTTTATTCAGCCAGTTATTTCTGCTCTGCAAATTAATAGTAGAAAGTTAAAAGCGACTCAGAGGTCAAGCTTCCCTACAGCGAAGTGTACAGGCAGACCGGGGTACAAGGTCACCCTCTTCGGAGGGCCCCTGGATTACAAACGTGCAAGATGAGGAACCAGGCGGGACTTGTTTTCATGTGTGTCCCTGAGCAGTTTGCATCAAGGAACAGCTACGTTTTTGAACAAGTTGGATGTTACTTCTAGGAGGGGTCGGCAGACAGGAGTCCGGCCTTGGCCCCTTTGGGCAGTGGCGGCAGAACGTGCGGCCGGGGTGCTGGGGAGGGGTGTCGAGAAGGCGGGGAGGGGCCCCGCGTAGGACAGGCTGAGAGTCACACGGAGGAGTGTGGGGCCTCGGTTCAGCGTCCCTCCCAGCCACTGTGGGACTCAGCAATGAGCATGGCAGGGAGAGGGGAGCCAGACTCTGCCTGGCCTGGGACTTGTCGGCCACGTGACCCTGCGGAGTTTATCCCTGTCCCAGGGCTTGTTTGGCTGCTCTGTAGATGGTGAGTTTCTGTGACTGTGCTCTTCCGTCCTTGTCATCGTCATCTCATTATCTGCTTTAAAAGTTTCTCTCTCTCTTTTTTTAATCAGATAATAAGCACTCTGTTCTGAATTTGAAGGTAAGATTATTTTTTAAAAATACTGATTTTCTCAATAAATAGAATTTCCATCATAATTTTTCAACAGATTTTGTAATTTATAAGAACAAAAAAATCTTCCCTTAAGAGTACTTTCCTATTGAATATTTCTTTTAAATACTCTTAAAACATGAGGAAACTCATATTTCTCATAGTTTAATAACGAAAGTAGTATATAAAAGGGTTAGAAACCACTCACATAATTTGTAGACCGAATAGACAATTTTAATAACCAATTGCAAACATGGAAATAGTTCTAGCTAAAGTTTTAGATTGTGCGAAGTCATAGGAATTTAAAAAATTAAACATTTCTCAGTAGAGTTAATTTATAACTGTATCTTCTTTTTCAGCAGGAATTAGAAACTTAATATCACACCAACGTGTAGGGAAAAGTTAACAACAGTTCAAAGCCCCCCCTTTCCTCTAAATTTGGGACTGAGAAGCAGGATCTCATCAATGTTCTTTCCTCAGCATTTGAAAACCTGCCTCTCCGCAGTTGACGGGGTCCTGTCTGCGTACCCCAATGAGAAAAGGCCCGATTGGGGTTTGCTTTGTGCGTTTGTAACCTTATCACATGCTTCTGAACATGAACTGGCGGCCTGTCACTCAGAGACCTGCGTGTAAAGATGCAGTCACTGAACTCACAGGCAAAAAGGCAGGAAGGAAGCTCAGACAGGACTTCCCTTTCCGCCTCAGAGAACCCACCCGGAGGGCAAGACCCTTCAGGTTTAAGATTCACTTATGAGAAACAGTGGACATTAAAGTTTCTAAAGCTAAAACAAACTAAGAACAAGAGCCAGGGCAGGTGCAGTGGCTCACACCTGGGAGGCTGAGGCAGGAGGATCGCTTGAGGCCAGGCGTTCAAGACCAGCCTGAACAAGAGCGAGACCTCATCTCCACAAAAAATAGAAAAATTAGCCGGGCATGGTGGTGTGCGCCTATAGCCACAGCTACTCGGGGGCTGAGGCAGGAGGATCGCTTACGCCCAGGAGTTTGAGGCTGCAGTGAGCTATGGTGACACCGCTGCTCTGTAGCGTGGGCAACAGAGGGAGACCCTGTCTCAGGGGAAAAAAAAAAAGCCAAAATGAAGAGGAAAAAAACTGCTTATATTCCTGATGTATAATGACCTAGCAGCTCGTGCCCACTCTGGGAAATGCTGAGACTCTTTCCTTTCTCTGTTTTTTCTTCCCTAGGATGAAAAACCTCCATTATGTGAAAAACCTCCACCCTCCCCAGGTATTTGCCTTTTAATTTCATCATGATCGAAAGCATACTGTTTTAGAGAATGCCCAGAGTAATCTCATCTGCAAATAAAGATCGCCTTTTCTTTTTCCCGTAAAGGCCGTTGCTTTTGTCTGGTTACCGGAATTGGGAAGAGGCGTTAGTCGTTGAGCTTCCACTTTGGCCTCAAAAGAGAGGGTCCCACACTCGGCGGCAGATGTAGGTCCCTGTGAGATGGGCGCAGACCCCGGGGTCAGGCTGGACCGGGGGGTGTGCTCAGATCCAGGCGGGCAGGTGTGTGCAAACAGTGCTCTGCCCAGGGCCGGAGGCGGAACGAGAGGTCCAGAGATGCTTTGTGGAGGGCGTGCCCGCACAGTCCGGGAGCTTCAGTGGCTTTCAAAATGGATTTTATAATTTTTGACTGTGAGGGATCACATCACTAGTCCGAAAATCTTATTTTAGTTCTGGTCTCCATGTCAGATTGACTTTATTTTCATCGTTTTAATCTTGGTGTTCCCAGGGCCGCATTCTGGGAGACTGCTGGGGCTTTGATTTCTAGCCCCCGGGTTCATTCTTCATGATATGTGTTTGAATTCACGTCACTGTGAGATGCTGACTAGCATCGCTCTGAAAATCTTAACTATTCTCCTTCCAGTCTCGTAGTTTGTGCTGCGGCCCCTTTTCCCCTCTCATTTGACCTTGGTGCTTCTCTTGACTCAGGTATTTGATGGGTCTTGGCCACCTGCTCACCTTGGCCCTCAAGAGTCCCCATTGGCACGTCTGGGGATGCTGTTACCTGCTCGCTCAGGCTGCTCAGAGAGGGGAAGCCAGTGGGGCTGCCAGGTCGTGCACACAGCCTGCCCCTGGTGTGGCCAGCCAGGGGCCACGGGGGCCCCTCTTCCTCCTGGCTTTCTCCGCCCCTGGCCTGCCCTGCTCCTCTGACCTCAGGGCCCATGTGGACTGCCCGGGGAGGGGCCCCCATCTCCGCTGTCACTGCCTGGCCAGGGCAGGCTGACCCCTTGCTGCTCCCGCTCTGGCGCTCTAACTGGACGCCTCCTCAGTCCTTTGTAGGCCACTTTGTGTCCCTCCCCCTGCCAGAGCAAGGTGTACCCCTGGAGCCACTGCCCCTCTGGTGGCCGCCCTCCCCCGGCACATTGTAGGCTGTGGCCTCCGTCTTCGGTCTCATCCCGACTGCTTTCTCTCTGCAGTTCCTCTCAGTTCCCTTCCCGTTTTCCGTGGAGCTGCCTCTCCTTTCGTGTTCTAGGATCGGGCATGTGTGTCGGGCCGGGCAGGCCCTCTGGAGCCTGCGGCCCCCTGCCCTTGTCTGCTGCGCGCAGAAGCTCTGCTTCTGCCTGCGCCGCAGCTGGGAGGCTGTCCCAGCTGGGGCCCGTTGGAGTTCTCTCCCCCTTTGGCCTCCCTGAGTGACTCTCCCTGCAGAACACCACTGTGCTTTCCAGCAACCTTCCATGCTATTCCTTCTTAAACTCCTCTGTGACCTCCCTGGTCCCCTCAGACACTGCCCACGTGCTGGTGGCTGGTCAGTGTCTCCAGCGGAGGCTGCCTGTGGAGCGCGGGGCCTATGTCCTAACCTGAGCCTGTCCCCTCTCTTCTTTGGTCCCCACACCTGCTCTTCCCACTCTGCTTCTCGTCTGGGTGAGTGTGTCCCTAACACGGATCCGGGCGGTCGTCCTGGGTTGGCTTTGCTCTCACCGCCCGCGCCCAGGCAGCCGCTGAGCCCTGCGGGATGCATCTGAGAGCAGAGCCTCTTCCTCTCGCACCTCTGCCTGCCAGCCTCGCTGGCGCCTGGCCCTGCAGGGTGAAGCCTCCACTCTGCATCCAACATGCAGGGGCCGCCTCCAGCTGCTGCCGCCCACTCGGTCTTTCCGCACAAGCCATTCCCTTCCCAGGGCCCAAAGAACACAGCACCAGGCCCGAAGTGAAGTCATTGCTCGCGTGGTTTTTGAAATAAAGTCTCACGTGATTTTGATGTAAAATTATAAATATCAACTAATATTTTTATACTTTCGTGCCTTTTCAGGTATAACTGGTAGAGCACGTCAAAGATGTATGGAACTGACCAAAGAAAAGTTTGAGGAATTGAAAGAGGAAAATTTGCACCTGAACGATAGAAATCAAACCCTGACCCTTGAACTGAATGTCATGAGACAAGCAATGAAAGAACTGCAGCTAAAACTTAAGAGAATGGAAAAACAGAAGGAAAAGCTAAAAGAGGTTGAGAAAGCACCGTCGCAGGAAGGTGGGGACAAGTACTCGGTGCTTTTATTAAAGGAACAGGCAGGACTTCCCTTATTTGATTATTTATTTGGAGGGTTAATATTTTATGTTGGTGATACTTGTTGATATTTATGTTGGTGATATTTTGTTGTAATATTAAGTTTCTTTCATTAATATCCTTATGCTTGTTGAAATTTGATTCCATTTGCTACGTCATTATTGTTATGCTAAAGAAATTCTAATACTTCTTTTGGAACTCGATGCTTAGCATAGTGTCTTATCTGTATTTCACATCAGTGTTTATCTCCGCAAGGGCATTTAAAAGCATCTCTTTCACTATCTACTTACCAGTGATGAGAATTGTATTTTCTTTGCTAATTTGATAGGTTAAAAAAGGGAAGAAACTGCATTTTAATTTGTATTTCTTTTATTACGGATGAGCTTGAATATTTTTTTCATATCCTTGCAGATCATTTTCTTTCATAATGTCGCCCACTTTAAATTGAGACACTTCTTATTGGTTTATAGGAACTCTTTACATTTTAAGGAGTTCAGCCCTTTGTCATGTGGGTAATATTTTCTTGGTTTGTTGATATTCTGGCTAAACCTATAAGATGTTTTTTCTTTTAAGACTTATGCCCTTGGTGTCAAGTTTTTTTTAACTCTAAGGTTATGTTAATATTCACCAATATTTTCTCTATACCTTTTTATATAAAACTAATATCATGGCCTTAAGTAAGATGCTGTTTGTTTTCTTCATATAGACCCTGCATGATTCTTGTCACAGGCACATTTATTTCTAGATACTTTGTGCTATTTGTGCTGTTATTTTGTGGGATCTAGTTTCTGTTATGTTTTCTAATAGAACATTGCTTTTATATGGGAAGGTTGTTAGTTCTAATACATTTTCCATTTATCCTATATGATTTTTCAAGCACATATTTTTATATCATCGAAAACAATGACTATTGCTTTCCAAGTTAAAGTTTTTATTTCACTTTATTTCACATGCAGAAACTTCCAGTATAATGCTGACTATTCAGTGGTAAAAACTTTGTAACTTTTATTCATTTACATACATATATACACACACACATAGATCACTCACTGCTTCTATGAGTCTAAAAGGGGAAGAAAAGGCAAATGATTAGCAATTTTTATAAAATATTGGTAAATTTGATATCATTTCTTATAGTATAAAATTGATTTTTTCCGCTAGTTACCACACCTGAATTACTTTATCTCCAAAAACAAGCTCAAGAATTGGTGGACGAAAATGACGGGTTGAAAAGGACTGTCCATCGTTTGAATGTAGAACTGAGTCGATATCAAACAAAATTCCGGCATTTGTCCAAGGAAGAGGTAATATTTCCAATCATGAAAAATTAGACTTTTGAGATTTTTTAGCCTTTACTGTTGAATACTTTTCCAATCCTGAGAGGTTGTTCATTATTATAATTTTGTATAAAAAATTATGTCCAAGGCCGGGCACGATGGCTCACGCCTGTAATCCTAGCACTCTGGAAGACCGAGGTGGGAGGATTGCTCAAGGTCAGGAGTCGGGAGTTCAAGACCAGCCTGAGCAAGACCCCCTCTCTACAAAAAATAGAAAAATTAGCCAGGCTTGGTGGTGCGTGCCTGTAGACCCAGCTACTCAGGAAGCTGAGACAGGAGGATTGCTTGAGTTTGAGGTTGCTGTGAGCTATGATGATGCCACTGTGCTCTAGCCTGAGCAACAGAACAAGTCCCTGTCTGGGGGAAAAAAAAAAAAAAAAAGCAAAAAAGAAAAGAAAATTAGCCAGGTGTGGTAGCATGCCTGTTGTCCCAGCAACTTCGGAGTTTGAGTCAGGAGGGTCATTTGAGTCCAGGAGTTCCAGGCTGCAGTGAGCTATGATCGGGCCACTGCACTTCAGCCTGGGTGACAGAGTGAAACCCTGTCTCTAAAAAAATAAAAACACGTAAATAAATGGAGTTAGCAGACACCAGCTTATCCTGAGTGTGAGGGTTAAAGTGGAATTACTAAATGACTAAATTTCTGAAAAAATAAAAGAAAGTAGTATTATGTCAGTGTTGATTGTCTGGTTTTTATGACAGCACTGTGGTTAAGTAAATGAATGTTTTTGTTTTTAGGAAACACACCCTGGAGTATTTAGAGGAAAAGGGGCATTATATCTGCAAATCATTCTCAAACACATCAGAAAAACATTTTCTCATACATATACATAGACAGACACAGGCACACACACACACACGCACACACAGACGCATAGACGGGTGATGCCCAAGTCTAGATTAAGAATATCTAAGACTTGAAATTTGGGAGGAAGTGTAGTTTAATTTGTCTTCAATGTGTGTTTTGTCCTTAGAGTTTAAATATCGGAGGCCTCCCCGCCAAAGGCCCCACGCCACCCTGGCTGGTAAGTAGAAGTTGTTTCATTTCAGACCCCTGTTTTCAGGGCTGTATTTGCATAGCTGTTAAAAAGCATTCCAAAATAAATATGTTTTCTTGCCTTTTTAAAAATTTGTTGATTGCATTCAGATGTGAGGAATATATTAACCCTCTTCTCCTCCGTTATCTTCAGCTGGATATAAAGTACCTGTCGCCACTGCTGCTGGCATATGAAGACAGAATGAAAGAGAAGGATGAGCTCAACGCCACCCTCAAGGTAGGTGGGTAAAGGTCGCAGAAGAGACGAGGTTTATGAAAATAAGACCATTCCAAACATCGCAGAAACATTTTGAAGGTGGGTATGCCCAACACAGAGTAGATGTTCAAATGTCTGTGGAAGGAGGGAGGGAGGGAAGGAAAGGGAGAGGAGGGGAGGGGTGACTGGCAGAGCAGGGGACCGGGGACAGTAAACGAAAGAGGTGTTGGGGGACAGGGTGGTTTTCTGTATCGGCAGCTCCACGTGGGCTGGGAGCTGGGGGTGCAGAGAAGGCATCGGGGAGAGTCGCTTCTTTCCTGGTACTCTGTGGCTGCAGACACCACCATTAGAAGGGACACTGGGCAGACGGGGAAGGTAACAGGCTGGGGATGTTTCAGGCAAACTTAGATGCTCCTTAATTCTAGGAAGAGCTGACCCCAAGGAAGTCTGACTGCTGAGTTGTCGAAAGTGGTTAAGAAGTGAGGTTTTCATTCGGTTCTGACTTACTCACCTTCGTTTCCTGGGGATGGACGGCTGCTGACGGCGGAGCTCATTCCCACCACCCTGCGCCTCCGTGCCGCCTACCTCTGGGCTCTTCACTTGAGGGCTCAAATAGATCTCTGGGATTGGAAGCAGCCGGGGGAGAAGCGTTGGTGGTTATGGGACCCTTAGCTGCAAGTTCCCCTGCCCACCCCCCCCTTTTTTTTTTGAGACAGTCTTGCCACTCTGTTACCCAAGTGGCGTGATCACAGCTTACTGCAGCCTTGAACTCCTGGGCTCAAGTGATCCTCCTGCCTCAGCCTCCCAAAGTGCTGGGATTACAGGCATGCGCCACCGCGCCCAGCCTGGGAAGGTCCTTTAAGAATCTGCTAAGGAGCCCGTTGCTCTTCGGTCATAGTGTCCCGTGTAAGGCAATTTTGAACCTTTTTTCCTAGACTTACTGTTGAACACTTAACACTTCATTTTCTGAGAGCATGAATTTGGTACTAAGTGATTACATATCAATCCTAATAATTAATCAAATCACTATGTTGGCGTTCCTTCCACATCAAGGTCAGCACACGTTTTCTGTGAAGGGCCAGTTGATAAATATTTTAGCTTTGTGGGCCACGCCGCTTCTGTTTACAACTCTTCACATGCGCCATTGCAGCAGGAAAGCAGCCGTAGACAACATGTAAACAATGGACGAGGCTGTGTTCCAATAAAACTTTATTTATAAAAGCAAGCAGCGGGCCTGCGGGTTTTAGTCTGCCTGGGAGAGCTGGGGGAAGAGTATTTCAGAGGCACAGCGGAGTAAACACCGGCCCCTCAGATGCTCAGTGGCGTTAACACAGGACACGAGCTGGCCAGGGGCCGGCCGAGAAAAGCCTGATGGAGGAGGCCCCGCTGCGGTGTCACACACAGACTGA